TAGAAATAATATCGGTTTTTGTGACTCAACGAACACTCGTTGCCACTTTTGTGATCCCAACACATACTCGTTGTCACTTACGTAATGTTCGTTGTAGTAAAGACTTTTTAATCGCAGTTACAACTATAGTAAGCCGTTGAACAATACTGGTGTCAGATATTTTTTTAATGTAAGCAAAGCGTTTCTTGTTCATTATCTACAAGGGTCAGCTGAAAAATTCAAGGGCTGACCAAGATACTCTCATGGAATCTGATCAAATAAGATTTATTTTTCAACATACTCACCTTTGCGGTCCAAACACTTCTTCCATCGGTTTTGCAGTTTTTGGATCCCTCTGAAGAAGCTTTCATCCTGTTGGTAAAAAAAGAATCATCAAAATCTGATATGACGTCATCATAACTGCGATACTGGTCCTCAGTTAAGTGTTTTCCTGTTGGGGAACAGATGATAGTTAGAATGGTCTAAATCAGGAGTATACGTTCAAAGCCAGAGTCACGTAAAGCAGCCACTGAAACTGAAGCATTGTCCTGATGAGACAAGTCCGATTTCGTTTGTTTTTCTGTGCGATTGGTGATTTGTTCATTATATCGTTTCGTAACCACCTCAACTAGTTAGAATAGTACTCTCTATTGGTGAAAGAAAGTGAACAAGGCTCAGGGGCACGTCAGGCTTTCAGGAGTGAACGCGATCTATCAGTGATAATAATAATTAGGTCAGAATCTCATCCGCTAAATAAATAAATGACAAAGGACTTCCGATTCGAAATGGTACGAGAGAAATCTGACCTTTTCTTGAAGACCCTACGTTCTCAGACCGGAACCGGAGATGTTCCACCACACAAAACGCGAAATATAAAAAGGGAATATTTGGGATGAATTAAAGGACAGAAGAGTTTGATGGCGAGTTTCGCAGAGGCAGTTAGAGGAAGATTGTAACGAAGTGAGCCGTGGTCGGTCGGTTGCAGACGCGATTAAGATGTCACCCCTGTAGAGAGCAGTTTATTAACCTGCCGCTAGGACTGCTATTAGCCAGCTTTCTCTCTCTTACTTGACAATTCATACAAACGGAAAAATAAACCAGGAGGAAATCAATCGAAGTCTTCAACAAATTTGCATCCGCGTGTTTTTGCAGCATCAGAATTTAGTCCCGTCGCAAGCGATCACATTACACATCATGTTTTAGACTAATGAGTGGCATTAATGAATGCAAGATTTCACAGTTCTAGCATCACCTCTTCAGAGTGAGCCTATTAACTTTTTAGTCTGATTTCGTATGCACGACAATCTACCATGCGTCTTATAGACCGTGAAATACGTTTCTCAAAAGTTTATATTAATGTCAATTCTTCATATAAGAACAAGAAATAAATTATCAGCTTTTTATATAAATAACCGTTTTATAATTCTATATTATAAAAAATTTATTCATTAAAACTTTTGGATATCTTTTTTTTATAAATACTTTACTGAAAGCGGCGTTCTTTCCTTCAAGACAAGAATGAAAATAGAAGAATTGAGCGCGAAGTCATTTTAATGAAAAGTATTAGAAGTGTTATCGTGTCGCAAGTTGCTTATCTTGTCAAAATAGCTTTAAGGATGTAAAATCAATTTCTCCCCCATTGAAATGTCTCTCGACAGCACAATGATCTGGTGTTAATAGTTTAAGGGAAAAGGCAATTTCACTATTTTAATTTGAGCTTCCAAAAGAAGTAAAACAAATATGATAGTTTTAGTGGTTACTCTTTAAATTGCATGATCTTATTTCTCAGGGGGATTATTTAATTTCATGAAACACGAAGACGTGTTTATTTTCTGTTTAGAAAAAGAATTAAATAATAAGTTCCATTGAGTTAGTGTTATTCTGTTGTTTTATCAAGTAGTGGTGGTAACATAACTGAGCCGACGCGGACATTTTCGTTTTTCAAATTAACTTGAATCCTTCGGGTTTTTAAAAGATATTTAAAGATATTTAAAATGAAATAAAGAGGGGAAAACAAGACAATTATTATTATTATTATTATTATTATTATTATTATTATTATTATTATAGAAGAAGAAGAAGAAGAAGAAGAAGAAGAAGAAGCGATGCAAATTGTGGTAGCGGCACTTGGCGAGAGAACTGCAAAGAAAAAAGCAACATGATATTAAAAAAGAGGTAATTCGCGACATTCATGAAGACAAAGTATGTCTAGCTCAGTATCATAGTAGATGTCACCTAGTGCGGTTCGAAGTTACGAGTAATGGCTTCGTTCGAATTCCAGTCGGGTTCAATACATTCAGTTACACGCAAATAACTTTCCGAAAGGCATGAATCCACATCCTAGCTATAGGTAGTAGGACTTTTATCTGAAAAAAAAATCAATGTTATTCTAAAAAAAATAATGCAATATCTAAACGCAAAAAGATAAAAGAATTATTCTTACATTCGAAAATATATATTTATATAAACCCACAGTATGTTTAATTATTTTTGTCTACTGGCCTGAATATTCAAATCTTATTAAAGAAAAATATGCGCTTTCCGGCAGGATTCGAACCTGCGATACTCATGATGTTCGACGCACATCGGGGGCGAGACAGTCTAAAAAAAATCGGATCTAACGACGGTTACTCCTACCTAGGGGAAAGCACTTGTTTTTCTTAAATAAGTTTTTTCGAATACTTTGGGCGATAGACGAAAATAATTAAATAGAATCTTTAATAAATAAACCGAAATATGGGTATCCACTAAAAATACTCATTAAAACGATAATATATGTTGGATTAATAAATAAAAATTGCTTTACCGATAGAAAAAAAAAGTTTATCCTTAATTATGTCCTTATTTTTTCATCGCGTTACATTGGATATCCATTTCAGCTGTTAGTCCTCAAGTGATGTGGTCTTTGTTATTTGGTAAAGTACATTGTTTAAGATTATGTAGCGCCTGTCCACACTGTTCGAAAAGTGTAGTGGTCACCAAGACTCATAGGCTTCACGCGTTCAAAGTCATTTTAAATCATTGATCTTCGAAAGCGGTCGTATATATATCTGACATCTTATATATAAAGTACAGTGTTTGTTTGTGCGTGTGCATGTCCAAGTAACTCCTCCGCTTCCACTCGTCAGTTTTCAATGATTTATAGCTCATTCAATAGCCCTAGAAAAGTTTGGTGCAGGGAACGATTTTGGTTGACCTCAGATTTAGGGTTGTCAGATTATGCGAGGTTAAAAATATATATTAATATATTAAAAAAAGTCATTATCGTAGCTTTCATGGTTCAAGGGGAATAAATCTTATTTTCCTTTTGTATCTAAATTGCGGCTAGCTTAAAACTGTATTTTTATTTTAACATTTTAAGCTAGATTAAAGCCGCCCTATCGGGCGAAATTTAAGCTACCTCCTGTGGAGAATTCATCGTTTGGCCATCATCAAAATATCTAGAGAGGAGTAGATGCAATAGGCATCAATAAACTACAGAAGAACTCAAAATTGAACGCTGCATTTAAGTATTGAATTAATGTTTATGCTTACCTTTTAAAAGTTCAGAGATAATTTTTCTGCTGCCACTTAATCTAGAGACAATTTGATGTACATAAATCCTTATTTTCTGTACAAACAATTATTTTTTTATTTCAGTGGTGACAGAACATGGGGCAATTTACAAGATAAAATAGTGTAAAGATGGGAAAATAGAAAACAGAATTACTTATACATTCAACATTTGAAGAGTTAGAGAAACATAATAGCTACATTCCAACAACTTTTGAACAAAATTCCCGATGAATCTCTTATTAACCCCAGCTTTACAATAAACGTGCGAAAAAGGAGGGGGCGTGCATGCGTTTGCACTTGTAGTTGAATCAAGCTCATCGCTGTTTTTGTTTGATTATTAGATTTGTAACAAGTACCATATTATTTGAAAGTTATTAAGGCCATAGGAAATTTAATAAATATCTAAAACATTGAAACAATTTAACCCCGACCACACAATAAGGCTTTATCGATGGAATTCCTTTATTAAGATGAATCAAACACTTGCGAAGGACATAATGTAAAAAATGAGGGGGTTGCTTAGTATACCACTGTATGATGCATGCAAGCGGTGATGCACGGAAATATTTCTAGATAGGGGGTGCGAGTATGCAGGAAGTGTGGTTATACAATTAGAGCCCTGTATACTCGGGCAACGCCGAGTATCTTAGCTAATACTTACATACATACATACATACACACATATATATATATATATATATATATATATATATATATATATATATATATATATATATATATATATATCATCACTAGTAGCAAGCAGAATTTTTTTTTTCTCCTGATGATGGCCATGTGGGCCAAAACTAGTCGAGGAGTCTAACTAAAATAATAAAAACGAAAGAATATAAAACCCAGTGTGTCTGAAGATTTTAATTTTTTAATATTTTTCATTTCAACTTAATTTTAATAATTATTTGGATGATTTCGGCTCTCGTTTTGAAACAAGAGAACTCTTATGTAGCGAAGGAATCATATTTTTAAACAAAAAAAAAATTTATTATAATAAACTCTACTTATGTATGGTGCACTGACGTCTTAAAAATAAAAACAAAAATACTAAGGAACTCCGGATTATGCACCCAACGTGTTCTTTTCTATTTTCTGCATACCTGCGCACTTATATATATATATATATGCATATATATATATATATATATATATATATATATATATATATATATATATATAGATAGATAGATAGATAGATAGATAGATAGATAGATTTTTGTTTAGAGGCATATCAACCGCTATGGGTTTATTTATTGCCTAAATCTAAATATTTTGTACGCAATTCTATTATATTTTTGAGGAAAATAATGGTTTAGTCATACTAATTAACCCATAGCTGGGGGATTAAGAGGTGGATTCATACCCTTTCCCAAGGATATTCGAGTGTAAATGATTATATAACAAACCCAAGTGAAATTGGAAGGCGACTTGCCAATTAAAACCCCGGTCTATTATAGCACCCGGTATTCTCACACGGTCACCCATCCAGGTACTGACCAACGCTGCTTAACTTCGCTGATCGTACGGGAATCTGTTTTTAAACGTGATGTGGCCGTAAGCCATACGTAGATAGGTGTGTGCGCCCGTGCCTGTGTCCGCATAACTTGAGAGGAAACGAGACGAAATGGACACAGAATTACGCATTGATGGAAAGGTATAAACGTATTTTGGTGAGGATAAGGTGAAGAAGAGCGATAGACAATGGCTGGGACGAGGCGTGTCTAAACGGCAGTGACTTTTAAATGTTATTTTCATCTGGAACCTAACAAAAATGCCAGCCAAATTTCCGTTTCCAAGCAGAGTTTCCAAGTTTGATTTATTTGTTTTGTTTTGTTTTTTTCCTTTGGGGGTGGGGGTCATTTCTCAGTGTTCCGATCACGATTTATAAATTGGCCCAGACTAAAAGAGCTTTAGAGTCTGCATCATTAGTGCGAATCTTCTCAGGCGTGTCGTCTTGGTGCCGAATTATAAATAACTACCTAGCCAACACCATGATCGTGCCGCTCTCTGATTTTATAGTTTTAGGAAGCAGAAGCAGACGAAGAAATCTTGCCATTTTTCTCAGAACCTATTTCATTTTCTCTTTCCTGTCTTTCAACCGCATCATTTCACCCCAAGAAAGGCGATAATGTCACTAAGACGCAAGGGATTACTGAAAATGAAAAAAAAAATTGAGAAAAGGATTTATTGAGGAAAGAAAATAGTAAAAGAACAGGATTCAAACGAAGCTGTGATTTATTTAAAATATTTTGACTCTTTTGGGCCTTCGTATTGAGCGATAAATAATAAAACAGTGGAAAAGAAATGTTAAAATAAAGCAGAATTAAGAACGGGAGGAAAAATTATATATTTGTTGTGCCATAGTACCTATTCTTTGGTAATGGACTCTCCCATAGATAATAAGTAGGAGTAGCAGTGGCAAGTCTGGCAGAATTGCGTCTCGCGGTCTTTGACTGCGCACGCCTCCTGTCGAACTCTCTGCATTAGCAGAGAGGAACCCGGACGAGGCTTTGCCGAAGGGCAAGGTTTCGTCCGGGGAGGTAGACAGGGCCTGAACCCGTTTAATCGGTTTCAAAAGGCTATTTTTTTGGCCGAGCCTACGGGCTCGGAGAAACCCACAATAAAACCGGCCTTGTGCCATATTCGTTTCCCGTGGGTGAAATGATAAATACCGAACGGTGTTGAGCGCGTCAGTCGAGATTCGGACATTGGAAGTACCAACCATCACAACTAGATTTGCTGCGTCATTGACTATTGTATTCCAAGTTCCTAACGTTTTGTACGACTTATTAGAAATACAAGCCTCCACTGTGAAAATACTCCACAACAATATTCGACCTGCAAATACACACACGCTTTTTCTTGGAGTTAAAAGATATTACATCGTGTTTTATAGGCTAGCTTGAGAATTCTCCTAGCTTAATTTGAACCCAAACAATCACTAACGTAGGCTATTATTTCACTTTTGACAAATGCTTTTAACTTGACCGTCACTATCCTATTATAATCGAAGCTTAGACGTGACACAACGCCGTAAGTAAGGGACACAAAGTGAGGATCTAATTGAGAAGCTTGCTAACTATAAGACCACGTCGAAATGTCTAGATAATTTTCTAAGCGTAGTCAGTCAATCAAGTGTCATATATGATATACACTTGGGAGATCATGTCTCTTTCGATTCTTGACTTACTACGCAGAAATCCTTCCACAGCAGAATTCCTTTTCTTTCTGCATTAGACTGGTTGCAAATCAAAACTGTAGCGTCCATTTTGTCCATCTATTCAACCCATAGCTGGGAGAAGAGATAGATTTCTATCTTTCCCAATGGTAATAGCCCATAAAAAAACACTATTAAGGAGCGAAAACAATAAAAGAAAAGGCATTAAGAAGATTAAAATAGACTGCAGAGCAAAAAGCCGAAAGAGAGTCCCACAAGCGAGAAGTGCGAGAGAAGAAACTGTTAGCATAGAACTTACGGTTACATCTGTAAATTGATGACTCTTAGTTGTCACTTACGGTGAAAGCACCGGTTCTCGTTTTTACCATCGAAGAAGCGTCGAGCCTGATTAGATGGAGGACTGCTCAGAAACACTGGACAGTATAAACGACTTTTTCTGCAATTCGAAATATATTTCAGGTTTAAATAACCGACAATGCCGAAAAAACAAAAAACAAAAACAAAAAAAAAAACAAATCAAACAACCTAACAGCCAATCTAGTCAGTCAATAAATTGTCAGACGTGATATACGCTTGGGTGATCATGACTTTTACGATTCATGACTGACTAGGCAGAAATATTTCCACAGCAGACTGCCTTTTCTTTTTGCTCTAGACTGGTTGCCAGTCAAAGCTACAGAGCCCAGTTTACCCCACTATTCAACCCATAGCTTGGAGGTAGAAATGTTAGATTCTTATCTTTCCTAAAGATAAAAGCGCGTGGATGAATGTAACAGTTCTCTCTCTCTCTCTCTCTGTCTCTGTCAATGACCTCTCTCTCTCTTTGTATATATATATATATATATATATATATATATATATATATATATATATATTTATATATAATTTAAAAAAAAAAACAGACCACTTTAAGGCTCCATTTTGTAATAATTTATTTCACCAGATAATTTTATTTTTCTATGGATCTTCAGACTTCTCTGGTGAAATAAATTATTAGGAATGGAGCCTTAAAGTGTTCTCTTTTTTAAATTAAATTATTCGCTCTGACTTAACATTGAGCTCTCAGGTTTCATCGTCCTTGGGATTATCCATCCGGATTACCAAGATTTTCGTTACTTAAATACATTATATATATATATATATATATATATATATATATATATATATATATATATATATATTTCTGTGTCTGCGCGCGTGCGTGTGTAAAGCAATGAGACAGAGAATGGGTATAAGGATGAAGGCATCTCGATTTCAGTTAATTTCTCAACAAACCTGACGTGGCTTCCCCTTGTTTTTTCTACAAATATTTTCATAGCAATTATTCTGACTAGTTTTTTTTCTCCCTGGAATCCCGACAATATGAATTTAAGCGTGCTACTAGAGTGGCAGATAGGTACCACCGTTTTACTGTGGAAATAGCTAGATGCAACCGTCACATCTTGCACCTCCTACATGTCCGATTTCTTACTTCTATGCTAACAACAATCTTCAAAAATTAAAACAAAAATGTCAGTAGTCATCTTCTGTTTTCTTGAAACCTTTTCCGTTTTTTTATCCTTTCCCAATCCTCCCCATTCTCAGTCTTCTCGTTCTTTTTAACTCCCTGTGTTGTATTGGTTTCATCTGCTGCTTTGAGATAAAACTATTAAAATATGGTGTCTGTTAATTTTACATCTTAAAAAATAAAGTTAATCCGACTCGTAAAACTAACAGGAATCATGCTTTCTATATCCACATTGTCATATAAAGTACAGTGTATGTGTGTTTATGAGTGTGTGTGTGTGTGTGTCCAAGCAGCACCTCCACTCCCACTGGACCGATTTCAATGATTCATATCTCATTCAAAAGCCCTTTAAAGTTAGGCGCAAGGAACGATTTTCGCCGAGCACAGATTCAGGGTTAACAGATTATGCGAGGTGAAAAATATATATTAATATATTATACTAGCCATTATCGTTGCTTTCATTGTTCAAGTGGAGTAACTCTTATCTCCCTTTTGTATCCCAAATTTGTAGGTAGCTTAAAATTTTAAGCTAGCTATACGGGCGGCATTTAAGCTAGCTCATGTGGAGGATTCTTGGTTTTGTCATCATCACAATATCTAGGGAGGAGTAGATGCGATAGACATGAACAAGCTACAGAAGAACTCAAAATTGATCGCTGCATTTAAGTTTTGAATTAGTGGTTAAACTTACCTTTAAAAATTTCAACGATAATTTTTCTGCTGCCACTTAATTTAAAGACGATTTGATGTACGTAGATCCTAATTTTCCGTACAAAAATATTTTTATTTCATCGATATTTTATTTCAAGATAAAATTAATATAGTGTAAAGATAAGAAAATAGAATTAGTTATACATTCAACATTTAAAGAGTTAGTGAAATATAAAAGCTAATCAAGTAAAACCTTAATTATGGAATCTTTATGAATAAATAGCAAAATTAGAGCTCAATTCTTCCAAAAATTCTGAAAAAAAAAGGAATCCTCGTTTACGTTATAGTGATTTACACGCAAAAAGGCTCAATACCTGTATTATATATTATCTACTTCTAGGCTATATCACTCTTCAGGTTTATCTAATTTGCATATTGATTTTTAAAAAGTTTATTTCATTAATTAACTGTTCTTCATTCGTGTTCTTTATTCAAGGATTGTTTTGATTTTCATATCAAAAATACATATGTTTAGAAAAATCGTCTTATATAGTGCAGACAAATGTTTGAAATTTGCATTTTACTTCATTAAGTTGGCATCTATTTGTAAAACTTTCCTCAACTATAACAAGCCAATTTATGAATGAAATGGTCATTTAAAATTTTTGTTTCAAAGATTTCAAGTAGTGAATATATCTTACTTTTCGAAGTGATAGCAAGCGGGCGAAACCTATGAGTTGCCTCTCTCTCTCTCTCTCTCTCTCTCTCTCTCTCTCTCTCTCTCTCTTTATATTCGTTCCGTGAAGCAAATATTCTTAAAACCTCTTCCGGTCTGAAGCAAATTAAAGTAAAATGGACGCCGTATATAGTGACAGGACAAAAACTGTTTACTCGAATAAAATTTTTTCCGTCCCAAATTAGCGCCCATTTAAAAAAATATCAATAAAATTCATAGCTGGGATTAAAAAATATATATAATTTGCTTGACTGCAACCGCGATAAAAATGAACAGAAAGGCCCAAAGAGACAGGACTGGAAAAAGGAGTGGATAAAATCGATGAAATGTTGTTTAGTAGAAGATTGGTTATGTGCATTGATTTCACGGCATTCAATTCAAACAGATGAACTGAAAGTGCACTATTAAAACGGATCCACACAATATAGACAAGACGCATATCTATCTATCTATCTATCTATCTATCTATCTCAGTCTGTTTCTTTC